GGTCTCTCCCACCTCTGCTGGCTGCCTCACCCGAACATTGTGGACCTGGTTGGGACCAGCAGCCTCTGGTTCAGTCCTTCCAAGGGTTCGATCTGTAGTGGTCAGGGATGGGAGGTTGGGGGTTTGGGATCATCTTAGATTCTGCACCACCTTCAGAGGCTCCCAAACTCCCCAGCCCTCTCCACTCTTCAAGCTTACCTGGATCCCTGAGGTTCACCATGGCTACCTGGATGCTGGTCTCAGAGCTCCCGCTCCCCACCCGGGGCCGTCGGAGACACTGTTCCCCCGCAGGAGAGGGCAGTCAGATAAGGGAGGCAGGCAGGCATGCAGAGGGAGAGGCCCACCACTTTCCAGTCTTTCTCTCAACCCCCCACCCAGTCCATGTGCTCCCTCTCACCTCCTCCTCACCCCCAAGCAGCACCAGTCTTCCATCAAACAGGGTGAAGCCCCCAATGTCCCAGACAGGCACATCGGGTGCAGGGGCCTCGGGGATCTGTGGGGCAGGAGGCTCTGGTTCTGGCTCCAGCTCTGGCTCTGGGCAGATGAGGAGGTACTGGGGACCTGGGAGTCCTTTCCTCTCCCTCAGGCCCCCCTCTCCATTTATCAAAGCTCATTAGGAGTTCCCTCCTAGGTGCCTTGTCTCCTCAACAACCATGTTGGGCTGTATAACCTTGAGCAAGGCTGTACCCCTCTCTGGGCCTTGTCCCCACCGACCATGGGTCATTATTCCCATTTGACTGATGGGGAAACTGAGGCTCAAGGAGGTGAAGAAACTAAGGTATGGAGACTAGAGGGCAGGACAACAAGAGGCAGCTGAGATGGCTATCCAGGCAGGAGGTGATGAGCCTGGGCCATCGGATACGAGAAGAGACCTGTTGAGGCTAAGAGTCATTTGGCATCTGGACACTGCCCACCTACTATGTCTCCAGTACTGTGTTGACTCTTCTACACGCCTTCTCTCATTTAATCCTCCAACAGCCCTATTATAACCCCCGTTTCACCAAGAAGGACACTGGGGCCCAGTGAGTTTGAGTGACTTGCCCAGTGTCACACAGCTCATGAGTGGTTGAACCAGGCTTCAGACAAAAAATTTCTCTCTTAACCAAGACAGTGGGTAGGTCCCAGAGGTTATAATAAAAGACAGCAGCTGTGGTCCCTTACATAAACAACCAGTCTAAGGTGGAAAGTGTTCAAAGGAACAGAAAATGGTCAGGCTAGAGGGCAGGAGAATAAGAGGCAGCTGAGATGGTTACCCAGGAAGGAGAGGATGAGCCTGGTCCATCAGATATGAGAAATCTGTCCTGGCTGAGAGCATTTGGCATCTGGACAGTGCTACTGTGGGTCTATTCCTTGTCTCTTCCCCAGACTGGACTCCCAGCCCCCAGTTGCCTGGCCTTTCCCCCCAGCCCCCAGGCCCTAGGTTAGGTGGAAAGAGGGAAGAGGGCAGCTGGGCCCCAGCCACTTCCTGCTGAGCTTTTGCTCTCCCCACAACTTCCTGTGTCTGTAGGGCTGATGCTCCGGAGGCAGACAAAACCCAAGCATCCGGCCTCCCAGCCAGGCCCAGGCTCGGTGGGGGACCTATGTACCTGGGGGCTGTGGCTCTGGCTCTGGCTCCGGCTCCAGCGGTGGGCTCTTATGCCTCCCCCAGAGGGTCTTGGATAGCCGAAGGCGGCTTGTCCGCGGCTCCTTGGAGGGCACAGAGAGGACACGACGGAACAGCGAGCGAGGTGCTGGCTGGTTGCTGACCACAGGCTCCGGCTGGCTCAAAGCCCTTCCCCAGCCCGTGAAGCGACCCCAGCGGGACACTCCAGCCCCCTTCTCACTGCCATTCCCTGTGTGCCAGCGGTAGGAACTCAGCGTGGTGGGGGCTGCCAGCTGGGGTTGGAAGGTCCGGCAGGGTGACAGTGAGTCCATGGTGAGGGGTCTTCTGGGGAGAGAGGCTGATGGTTCTGCCCCTTGCATTCCCACATGCCACCCTCATCTCAGCCCCCTCCCCACTCTCAGCTCTGCCTCTAGGGACCCCTTTGGGGATGCTCACACTCCCTTCCCACAGCCGCTCCCTTACCTCGATTTCCTGACCAGCCCTAGACTCAGCAGCCGTCTGCACCCTGCCTGGCTTCCTCCTGCTGAACCCAACTCCACGTGACCCTGTATGTCCCACCCCACCCCACAACAGGCTGGGAGGGCACAGCAGGGACAGGATGCTGAGGGGAGAAGAGATGGCAGTAGATTTCTGGCCAGAAGGAACCAGTCCCTCACTGACCAGGAGGCAGCCTCTCTGAGCCTCAGCTGCCTTCTCTGCAAAATGAGCATAGCCTGGTGAGAATATGGAGCAACTGGAACTCTCATCCACTGCTGTTCAAATGTAGAGAGATTCACTCACTTTGGAAAAGTGTGCAGCATGCTCTAGTAAAAGTGAACATATTCCTCTCCTATGACCCAGCAATTCACTACTAGCTATGCTCCCAACAGAAATGCCTGTTGTTGATGTTAGTTGCTGTGGAGTTGATTCTGACTCGTGGCAATCCCATATGTTACAGAGTAGAACTGTCCTAGAGTATTCTTTGCTGTAATATTTTTTATTTTATTTTATTGTTGTACTTTAAGTGAAAGTTTACAATTCAAGTTCGTCTCTCATACAAAAATTTGAACATACATTGTTATGTGACCCTAGTTGCTCCCCCTATATTGTGACAGCACACTGCTCCTTTCCACCCCTGATTTCCAGAGTCCATTCAACCAGCTCCTGACCCTCTCTGCCTTCTCATCTTGCCTCCGGACAGGAGCTGCTTGGCTGTAATCTTAATGCAAGCAGATTGACAGGCCTTTATCTTCTGCAGTTCTGCTGGGTGGGTTCCAACCAACAATATTTAGGTTAGCAGATGAGCACAAACTGTGCCACCTACCAACTCTATTTAAAAAAAAAATTTATAATATACCTGTTTCCATCGAGTCAATTCCAACTCACAGTGACCCTATATGACAGAGTAGAACTGCCCCATAGAGTTTCCAAGGAGCATCTGGTGGATTCAAACTGCCGACCTTTAGGTTAGCAGTCATAGCTCTTAACCACTACTCCACCAGGGTTTCCAGTATTTATAATATATACATATATATAGCACTCATTGCTATCAAGTCAATTCTGACTCATAGTGACCCTATAGAACAGAGTAGAACTGCCCTGTAGGGTTTCCAAGGCTGAAATCTTTACAGGAGCAGACTGCCATAAGTTTTTCCTGCAGAGCTGCTAGTGGATTCGAACTGCCGACATTTCAGTTAGCATCTGAGTGCTTAACTACTGGGACACCAGGGCTCCTTATATATATATATATATATGGGGTATATATAATATACATATAATTGTGGTGAGTATACATATAACAAAGAAATTGTCATTTCAACATATTTTACGTGTACAATTCAGCAACATTAATCACTTTCATGTTATGCAACCATCACCACTATCTGTTTCCAAATTATTGAATCACCATTAACAGAGACTCAGAGGCCCCTAAACAATGACTCCCCCTTTCCCCCTCCTTCCCACCCTTAGTAGCCACTAATAAGCTTTGGTATCTATACATATGCCTCTTCTAGATATTTCATGTAAAGGTATCCTATTTGTAATAGCCCCGAACTAGAAATAACGTAGGTGTCCATCTATAATAGAATAGATACATTGGGGTCTCATATTCTATGAGAATATCGCGATGGAGTACTATACAGCAATGGGAACAAAGAAACTATTGAACAATTCAACTCAGATGGAATCATAAACCCAATGACGAGCAAAAAAAACAAAACACCCCCAAAACAAAAACAAAACAAATATCTCAGACAATCAAGAGTTTAAACTGTGACTGCATTTATGTAAAGTTCAAAAGCGGGCAAAATTATGTATAACAAGTCAGAATAGGGACTGGGAGGGGACAGGAGAGAGGCTCTGGGAAATGGGCATGCTCTATTTCTATTTTTATTATTATTGAGGTGAATTTCACATAACATAAATATAACGTATTCTATTTCTGGAGCTGGGTGCTGGTTACATGGGTGTGTTCCATTCTGAAAATTCATTGAGCAATAGATACACTTTTTGTGCGCTTTCTGTATCTCTGTTACACCTCAGTTGATGTTTATTTGGAAAAAAGAAGTGAGAAGATGTTCTGAGCAATACGTGAGTCAGCATGAGAATTAACAGAATGCCAGGAGCTGGACAGGGGGTAGAGGGTGGATCGAGTGTCAGCTGGCCCCTCTCTCTTGCTGTGTGACTCCAGGCAAGTCACTTCCTCTCTCTGAGACTTGGTTTCCTTATTTGTACAACAGGATGACAATATCAGTTTCAAAAGATTCATTCTGAGAGCCTTCATTTATTCAACAAGTGTTTCCTGAGAGCTTACTCTGTGCTGGGGGCTGGAGAAGCAAGGGGAACTAAACAAACTTGGAGCTCACAGGCCAGTGAGGGAGACAGATTTCAAAGGCAAATGCAGCACTTTTCTAGCTGGGTTGGAGTAGTGCTGAGCAGAGGTGATGCTCTTTGAGCTGGAAAAATCAGGGAGGGCCTCCTTGAGGAGGTGACATTTACAACCTGAAGCAAGACAAGGAGCCAGCCATGGAAAGAGTGTGCCAGGTAGAAGGAGCAGTTTGTGAAAAGGCAGATATGACCAGAATCCATGGGATAGTGGGTGGGGAAGGTTTGCACAATATCCCCTTCTGTCCCCCTCAGCCGGACTTAGTTTAATGCTCTGCTGTTGTCGTCTTGAGGTCCTTAAGTGGTGCAAATAGTTTGCACTCGACTATTAATCAAAAGTGGAGTCCTTGTGTGGTCCAAACGGTTAAGTGCTCAACTACTAACTGGAAGGTTGATGATTCGAACCCACCTAGAGGTGCCTCAGAAGAAAGGCCTGGTGATCTGCTTCTGAAAGGTCATAGACTTGAAAATGCTATGGAGCACAGTTCTACTCTGCACACATGGGGTCACTATGAGTCGAAACCAACTTAATGACACCTAACAACAACAACATACCTGTGGTAGGAGCCTTGATAGCACAGTGGTTAAGAGCTCAGGCTGCTAACGAAAAGGTTGGCAGTTCAAATCCCCCAGCCACTCCTTGGAAACGCTATGGGGCAGTTCTACTCTGTCTTATAGGGTCGCTGTAAGTTGGAATCGACTTAATGGCAATGGGTTGTTGTTTTTTTTGGTTTGTGTTTTAGGTGAAAGTTTATAGTGCAAATTAGTTTTTCATTCAAAAATTTATACACAGATTGTTTTGTGACATTGGTTGCAATCCCCTCAATGTGTCAGCACTCCCTCCGCTTCCCTTTCCACCCTGGGTTCTCCGTGTAAATTCATCCAGTTCTCCTGTCCCTGTGTTTTCGTCTTTGCTTCTGGGCAGATGCTGCCCATTTGGTCTCGTATAATTGAATGAACTAAGAAGCACATTATTGTTTGCTTTATAGGCCTGTCTAATCTTTGGCTGAAAGGTGGACTTCAGGAGTGGCTTCCGTTCTGAGTTAGCAAAGTGTTCGGGGGCCATAGATTCGGGGCTTGCTCCAGTCTCTGTCAGACCAGTAAGTCTGGTCTTTCTTCGTGAATTTGAATTTTGTTCTACATTTTTTTCTCCTGCTCTGTCTGGGAACCTCTATTGTGAACCCTGTCAGAGCAGTCAGTAGTGGTAGCCAGGCACCATCTAGTTCTTTTGGGCTCAGGTGGGTGGCGGCTGTGATTCATGTGGTCAACTAGTCCTGTGGACTAATATTTTCCTTGTGTCTTTAATTTTCTTCATTCTCCTTTGCTTGGAACGGGATGAGATCAATAGATGTATCTTAGATGGCTGCTCGCAAGCTTTTAAGACCCCAGATGCTACTTACCAAAGTAGGTTGGAGAACATTTTCTTTATGAACTGTTTATGGTAATTGACCTAGATGTCCCCTGAGACTATGGTCCCCAGCCCTCAGCCCCAGTAACTCGGTCCCTCAAGGTGTTTGGATGTGTCTAAGAAGCTTCTATGACTTTGCCTTATTCAAGTTGTGTTGACTTCCCCTATATTGTGTGTTGTCTTTCCCTTCACCAAAAGTTAACACTTATCTACTATGTAGTTAGTGATTTCCCCTCCCCACCTCTCCCCTCCCTCATAACCCTCAAAGATTGTGTTTTTGTGTGTAAAACTTTTCTTGGTTTTTATAATAGTAGTCTCATACAATATTTGTCCTTTTGTGATTGACTTATTTCATCCAGCATAATGCCCTCCAGATTTATCCACGTTGTGAGATGTTTCTTGGATTCATCATTGATCTTTATGGTTGAGTAGTATTCCATTGTATGTACCATAATTTGTTTATCCATTCTTCTGTTGATGGGCACCTAGGTTGTTTCCATCTTTTTGATATTGTGAATAATGCTGCAATGAACATGGGTATGCATATGTCTATTCGTGTGACAGCTCTTATTTCTCTAGGATATATTCCTAGCAGTGGGATTGCTGGATTGTATGTTATTCCTATTTCTAGCTTTTTAAGGAGGCGCCATATTGTTTTCCATAGTGGTTGCACCATTTTACATTCCTACCAGCAGTGAGGCATAAAAATTCCAATCTCCCTGCAGCCTCTCCAACATTTGTTATTTTCTGTTTTTTTGATTAGTGCCAGTAATGTTGGGGTGAGATGGTATCTCATTGTAGTTTTGATTTGCATATCTCTAATGGCTAAAGATTGCAAGCATTTCCTCATGTGTCTGTTAGCCGCCTGAATGTCTTCTTTGGTGAAGTGTGAAATTATTAATTTTTGAACAAAAGGCCCCACATTTTCATTTTGCATGGGTACCCCAAATTATGTAGCCTGCCCTGAGGAGGGGGTTCTTTACTGAGGACCAAAGATCCTTCTCCTGGAGCCAGACGTGTATGGGCAGGTACACTCACCTTAGATGTGTCATTCATACCCCCTCAGGCCACCCTCTGCATACCTACACTATGATGTAGCAGTCTCTTGGTGTATCCCCTCAGGTGTATCTCCTCAGCCTTAACAACTTCCCAGACTACTGTCCCCCCAGCCCCCAACTCCCAGGACCTGCATGTTTGCCTGAGGGCTTTCTCTGGAAGCTAGAGTCACGCTGCCTACTATGGATTGAATTGTGTCCCTCCCTTCCCCCACCCCCCGCCAAATAAGTATTGATTCTGGCCCTTGTACCTGTGGATCTGTTTGGAAATAAGGTTTTTCTTTTGTTATGTTAATGAGATTATACCCAAGTAGAGTGTATCCTAAACCTAATCACTTCAGAGTTATAAGAAGACCAGAATAGACACAGAAACACATACTCAGGGAAGATAGATGCCATGTGAGGATCACCTACAAGCCAAAGAACACCAACGAACCAAGGAATGCCCGAGGCTTCCGACAAGGAAGGAATCTACACTGCCAAGACCCTAGTTTGGACTTTTAGCCTCCAGAACTGTGGGAAAATACACATCTGTTCTTTAAAGCCACCCGTTTGTGGTATTTGTGTTACAGCAACACTGGGAACTAAGACACTGCCCATGTGACAAGCAGCCCAAAAGTGTTGGTGAATTAACACCTCCTTAAGAACAGCTGCCAACCAATCATTGATGTAAGGTGGTGGATCAATACCCCAGCTCCCTCACCCCTGGGTGGGATGACACTCAGATGTCTTCTCTATGATGTCTCCCTGACGTCCTCAGTGAGATTGGGACCCAGTCGCCCACAGTGGGAAGCTGCTTGATAGCACACCCTGTACTCGCCTCTCTCCTTCCCTGTCTCACTCCCCTACTGCTCTACTTGTGTTTCCTGAGATCACCTTCCCAATGAACTACTTGCACTGGGATTCCTCTTAGGATCTGCTTCTGGAGCACCCAACCTAAGACAATGCTTGCAAACACAGATGGCACATGCACATGGCTCTTTCCATGGTCTCTTTATTGGGGGTCTGCAGCTGGCAGGAGTGGGGGTAGCTCCCTTCTGGACCTCCAAGAGGCCCTCCTAGCAGTTCTTGGCTTCACATCCTAGAAAAGAAGAGAGTGTAAGGCTTGGGGGTGGGAGGCTGGGTATGCTGTTCCCAGGGTGCGACCCTGGATGGGGAAGGGGACAAGGTCTCAAAGTCAGGAGGTAGGTAGGAAGCCAACTGCAGGCCAGGGTGGGTGGATTGATAGCTTAATAAAATGGAGCGGCAGGTAGTATGAGGTTGTGGAGACGGGGTCCAGGTGTGATTACAGAGGAGGTTTGGAGGACATCATGATGCTGAGGCTGTGCTGGCTGGGCCTAGGTTTCTCCAGCATAAGCGTTGCCTTCAGGGGCCAGGGAGCAAGGGGCTAGGCAAGGGTCCTGGGTGCAAAGGATTGGCAACACAGCATTAGGCAGTGGGCAGAGATTCTGCAGGCAAAGGAGTTTTAGGGAGGGGCTCAGGGGCTGGGCCAATGTTATGCAGACAGAAGGACTTTGGGTAGGGGGCAGAGGCCAGGCCAAGGTTGTGTGGGCTGGGATGAGGTTGTATAGGCAGAGGGGTTGTGATTGGGCATAGATCATGCAGGCCAGGCTGAGGTTGTGTGGGCAGAGGGGTCTATGCTCCAGTTGGGTGGGCAGAGGTGTTAGAAGCTAGGCAGCAAAGTGGCTGGGTCAGAGGTTCACAAATCGGTGTGGAGGGCTGTGGACAGAAGCAGGGCTGGGGCTATGCAGGCCAAGGTCAGGGAGCAGTGACTGAAGACTGGGCCGCGGTTGCCTGTGTAAAAGGGCTACAAAGCGGGACCAGGAGCCTGGCTGGGGCTGTGCGGGCAGGCTAGCGGTCAGGGACCCCGCTGAGCTTGTGCGAAGGAGGGGCTGGGGGCCGAGTTAGCATGGGTGGCGATGACTCACGGCTGCGAAGCGAGGCCAGGTGCGCAGCACGTTGAAGAGCGCGTCGCCGGGGCACTCGGTGCTCACGACCTGGCGGTGGCCGAGCACCTTGTAGTCGGATCGCAGATGGCCGGAGCGCAGCGCACAGCGCGGGAGTTCGTCGCGCATGGTGCGCAGCGCGGCCTCGGTGGGCAGCTCCGCCGTGTAGTTGCCCACGAAGGCCACCCCGAAGCCTCGGGAGTTGTAGCGGAGCGTGTGCGCACCCACGTAGTGCCAGCCGCGGCCCTCATATACGTAGCCATCCGAGCCAACCACGAAACTAAGGAGCAGAGGGGCGAGAGGCACGACGTGGAGTCAGGAAGGCCAGACCTCATGCCGCCCACCCCAAGGCCCTGTCTCCCGACCCAAACCCTGCCCCTGAGCCGGGGCCATCCCCATCCCAAGTTCCGCCCCGGCACGTAGGTTCTGTCGGGTCCAGGTGCTGCCCGACTCCGGGCACAGACCCGCCAACCCTCTGGCTCCACCCCTCAGCGCTGGCCACGCCCCTTTATCCTGGGGCGCGGCTTGTCCCAAATCCAGCTCCTGCCCAGTTCAGACACCAGTTCTGCCTTAGGTCACGCCCCATCACTGCCTCTGTCCCAGCCCACCCAAAAGCCCCACCCCTTCCCTAGGCCCCCGCCCCTTCCTTCAGGCCCTGACTCTTGCCCTATTCCCTCCCCCAACCCAAGCATCACCCAGTCTAGCGATTTCTGGTCCCTGTTGAGGCCCCGCCCCCATTATACGACCCTCGCTTGTCTCCATCGTGGCTCCACCCACCCCAAGCTGTTCCTCCGCCTTGCCAGCTCAGCTCCCTCTAAGCCCCGCCCCTACCTCAGGCCCCGCCCGCTCAGCCTCGGCCCCGCCCCGGCCAGGCCCTGCCCACCTGTAGCCGATGTCGTCCCAGCCGCGGGTGTCCTGGTGAAAGCTCTGCATCCAGCGCATGCTGGCGGCGCATTGCGCGAAGTCGGTGCAGGGCAGCTCGGGAATGTATGTGTGATGCACATACAAGAAGCCGAGCGGCAGCTTCAGTGGTATCGGTTGACCCCGGTACGGCGCGGCGCCCCAGCGGCAGCGGGGGTGAATGGCGGGGCAGTCTGCAATGGGGTCCAGGGCTAGGGTGAGCATGGGCTCTCCCACCTGCTGCTTGCACCACCATTAGAGCGCATATATAGGCCATTTCTCCAGCCCCCTGCCAGATTTGGGGAGAGTCTAGCTCACCGCACATCGACCCCCACTGGTATCAGACTTAACCACATCTAACAATGTCTCTGACGTGTTCAGACATCTGCTATGACTTTGACGACCTTCATAATAAAGCCCAAGAATTTTAGCTCAGCCTTCAAGGCCCTTTATAACCCAGGGCTCAATGGTGAGCCCGCTGCCTGGAATGCCTCCTCTTCCTCACTTTTTTGTCAGACGAACTCACATTCATCCCTCAATACCCAATGCCAGCATTTCCTCATCTGTGCACCTTCCCTGGCCCTCCCCAGGCACAGCCCTTATTGCCCCCTCTCGACTCCCCCATTCCCTAGATCCCCCTGACCACATGGGGCTGGGTATGTCTGGGAGGGTGAGGGGATGAGGGGCCTTCTCACCCAGAAAAGCCTTGGTGAACTCCTCGGTGGCATGGCTGGCCACTTGAGCCAGCTGATCTTGGCTCATGCCCTGCAGCTGGGGGTGTGTGGGCTCCAGTCTCTGTAGCAGGAGGAGGGCCCCCCACACCTGCTGGGTCAGAGTGGGGGCCGAGATCAAGACAGCCCCATTCTGCCGTCGGAAGTTGCTTCGGAGCCCTGGCTCTCTGGCCACACCAGCTCCATAGTACTGGCTCAGCAGGAGGCTGAGGGGTGGCCGGGGCTCAGGGATCCAACTCAGGTAGTCTCCCAGGAGGGCCCCATCCAGGGCACCATTGAAGAAAGCTGTGGTGAGCGGTGAGGCTTTGGGGTCCAGGAGGGTGAAGTTCTGGGGGGCATGGAGCTGGTCCCAGCAGCCCTCAATTCCCAGGACAGGAGGGCTCTGGGTCTGGGGGTCCTGGAGAAAGGTTAGACCCAGGTCTTTGGCCAGGGTGACCACCAGGAGGCTGTCCACGCTGGTGGGGAATGTGGCTTTGGTATCTGGAGAGGCAGCTTCCATATCTAGAGAGGTGACATCTGGTGAGGCCACTCTGAGTCCTGGGGAGGTGGCTCTTACCTCTGGAACCATGGCTCCAACATATGGAGAGGTGGCTGTGGCATCCTGAGGGGGAGCTGTGCTGTCCAAGGGAAAGTTCACCACCCGGTGCCCCTGCAGCCCTGCCTCCAGCCCAGCCAGCAGAGGCTGCACAGCCACGGTCGAGCCATCGGGTGCCAGCACCACCCCATACTCCTGCCCACCCCGTACATCATGTTGGGCCACTTTCTCTGCCAGGCCTTGAAGCTTTGGGCTCAGCAGGTGGGGATCCAGTTTGATGGCCTTGAGGCCCTCCTTCTTTAGCAGGAAGCGGCGGAGGGGGTCATGGGGGCTGGCGTCCTGGGCTGACAGTAGCCATGCGGAGGCCGTGGGTCTGGTCTCGGTCACTGGCGCCTTCTGCTCGAGCTCACCCAGGGCCTGGATGACGAAGTCCATGAACAAAGGCAGGCAGGCTGTGGGGACGGGGGGAGCTGTCAGCCCAGTGGCCCAGCCCCACCCCAACCTGAGCGCCGCCACCCAACTCCACACTTTCTCAATGCCTCCATCCAACAACCCTGTGGCCCCCAATACTGTCCTTGTGTAGATGAGGGGAAACTGAGGCACAGAGACAACTAGTGTTCATGATGCACTAGGCCTTCGGTTAAGGAGCTTGGACTGTCTATGAGCACTAGGTAGCCATGGCAGGATTATGAGCAGGAGAGGGACGTCCTATGATTGTTCTTTTGGCTGCTATGTGGAAAATGGACTTTTGCGGGGGGGCTAAAGAAGGGAAGGGGAGACAGTGTGGAGATGAGCAATGAAGGGTAGGGCAGTGGGATGGAGGGAAGAGGGCTGTGTCCCCGGATATGTAGGAGAAAAGATGAGCAGTTCTTGGTGATGGACTAGATTTCGGTGAGTTTAGAGGGAAAGGTGTCTTGAAGGATGGGCCTGTACCTTCTTGGGGGAAATGTCAGTGGCTAACCCTGGAACCCAAAAGTGTTGGACCTAGAGCTGGGGGTTAGTAAAGTCCCTGGGTGGTGCAAATGGTTAACATGCTTGGCTACGTTGGAGATTCGAGTCCACCCAGGGGTGTCTCAGAAGAAAGGCCCGGAAGTCCACTTCCCAAAAAATCAACCATTGAAAACTGTATGGAGGACAGTTCTATTCTGACACACCCGGGGTCACCATGAGTCAAAATTAACTTGACAGCCAGTGGTTTGTTTTGAACAACAGCTAACATTTACTAAACCGATGCCTGAAACTGTCCTAAATGACTTATACAACTTAACTCATTTAGTCTTCACAACAACCTATGAGGTGGGTCCTTTTACAGATGAGTTACCTGAGACACAGGTTAAATTACCTGCTTGAAGTCAGATAGCTAGCAAGTGGCAGAGCTAGGATTTGAACCCAAGAATGCTTCATCCCCATCCTCTGCCACCTAGAATCCAGGTTCTTTTCCAGAGAGTTTACACTACAATTTCTCTAAAACTTTGCCCTTCTCTTGCCCTAAACACCCTTCTCTGCTTTTCTACCAAGTAAAATTCTTCTCCTTCTTCCCTTCCTAGCTCTACATGTCCGCCTCCAGGAAACCTTCCCTGTTTTTGCTTCCCTGGCCGCAGGTCCCTCCCCTCCCCTTGCCCTGGTCCTATGGGACTAGGAACATCTGTGTCTCCTGGTTCCTGGAGGGCTGGGCCCAGCGTTGGAGTCTCTGGCCTTGCTCCCATACAGGGCTGGACACGGAAGGGGCAGCAGTACACTTTTTGCAGAACCGAGATTCCCAGCCCAGGCATCTGCCCTCTGACCCACCTTTTCCAGCCTCTGGCCACAGCAGCAATCCCAGCAGGATCCAGAGGACACCCTGGGCCGTCATTGTGGGGTTCCAGTTTCCAGGGGGGCAGATCCAGTTGACCTCAGCGGAGACTCAGTCCTGTTGGAAGGACACAGGCAGGGAGAACAGAGCAGGGCCTTTGGCCACGGTCAAAGTCCAGGGTGAATGACTCGCTGCCCCTCGCAGAGCTGGGGGCGGGAGGAGGTGGGGGGAGGGGGCCCGGAGTCATGGTCACCTGGACCTCGGACCTCAAGTTCTTCTCCATCCTGTCCTGTCCCTCCCAGGCTGGGGTCAAGCAGGGGAGGCCCATCCCAGGAAGGGCTGGAGGCCAGGTAGTTTAGACTCCAGCAAACTCTGCCCATTCCCATGGTGATAGCTCTGTAGCTCTGAGGTCCCCGCTGGACTAGTCAGACTGGCGGTGCTGGGGGAGTGCAGGGAAGTGACATCCCTGACGTTGGCCCCTTCTCCTGGCTTCCTTGGGGCCAGGACTCCAAGTTCAGGCACAGGAGGGCAGCAGGGGCCAGGTTCTTGCTGAGGACTACTTGAGCCCAAGGGGACCAGGAGATGCTACCACCCACTGGGTTCCAGCTCTGTCCCCAAGCCACCAGAGGCAGCTGCGAGCAGGGAGAGGGCCTGGCGTGAGGAGGCCCCTGGCTTAACCCAGGAGCCAGCTTCTTGGCTCACCTGGCTTGACAGTGAGGGGCTCTTCCTCTTTCACAGGTGCCCAAGGCTGAGTCCCTGAAGGAGTGTACCTGCCTCCCCTTTATTCCAGCATCAGGCGTGGCCTATATGGCTGGGGCTGCGGTGTAAATTGCTTCACTGTGGGCCTCCCACCCCGAAACCAGCCCGGGGAGTTTTCGGGAGACCCACCAGGCTGGGGACTTAGCACAGGGCAGGTCCTGGGTGAGCCGGGAATACCCAGGGTGAGCTGGGAATACCCAGGGTGAGCCAGGCCTGGGATTTCCCAGGGGCCACCACCGGAGAACAGGGCTGGGCATACGTTGGTGGCTTACCGGGTAGGAGGGTGAGGGAGGGCGTGAATGGGGGCCAGAGGGAAAATCCTCCTCCACGCTTGAGTTTCCAAGGATTTGGGAATGGGAGCTCTGCTGGTAGCACCACAGAAAGGATGTGGGCTGTGTGTTCATCTGGGGCAGGGGCTAGAGTATACAGAGTGAGGCATCCACCTGGGACACAAAATTTAAGGCAGTGTAAAAAAAATCTCAGTCATTAAGATAAATTACATACATATAATATAAAAAACCAAAACCCAGACCTTTGCCGTTGAGTTGATTTTGACTCATAATGACCCTATAGGATAGAGTAGTTTCCAAGGATTGGCTGGTGGATTTGAACTGCTGACATTTTGGTTAGCAGCTGAATTCCATATATAATATATTATATATACATGTATTATAAATTATATATGTATCTGAAATATTTTAATGCAATATTTTAAAAAATCAAAATTAATGCAAAATGTCCATGATGCACAAAATACCAAATTTACTCGGTACAGGGACTAGGGTGAGGAGAGTGAGGCATCTGCCTTGGACCCTAAATTTAAGAAGGCACCAAAAATCTCAGACATCAAGATAAATAATATTTTAATGCAATTAAAAAAAATCAAAATGAATGCAAAAAGTCCATGGTGTATAAAATAGCAAAGTTTTAAATAAAGATGGGATTAGTAACAGTGCTGTGCCATGCTATATGGGAGCTGGAGGGAAAACGAAAATTGAGAATTCTGATCCCGTCTTTGCACCTCACTTGCCTCTCCCTAGTTCCAGTCCTGTGTCCACCCTGGTGGAGCCCCAGGAGACGAGGGGTAGCTGTGCCCTGAGATCCCCATTTGGGGCCCACCTGGCCTGGCAATGACCTTGATTCAGCACCATGAACCCTGGTTTGCCCCTCTGCTCTCCCCTACCGACTGAGGGTGTGTGTGTAGGGCCCTCACGGTTATATGTGACCACCCATTTATCCCCATTTTACCCAGCAGGAAGCTGAACTCAGAGACGTTAGGTAACTTGCCCAAGGCCATACAGCTAGAAGCAGGGTGTGGGAAAAAACAAAAACCAAACCTGTTGCCGTCGAGTCGATTCTGACTCATAGTGTCATGGATTGAATTATGTCCCCCCAAAAATGTGTGTATCTGTTTGGCTGTGCCATGATTCCTGGCACTGTGTGATTTTGCTATATGTCGTAAACCTGCCTCTATGATGTTAATGAGGGGGGATGGGTGGCAGTTGTGTTTGTAAGGCAGGACTGGATCTACAAGACTGGATTGTGTGCTGGGGCAATCTCTTGAGATATAAAAGACAGAAGTGAGCAGTGAGACGGGGACCTCATACCATCAAGAAAGCAGTGCCGGGAGGGGAGCGGGTCCTTTGGACCAGGGTCCCTGCGCAGAGAAGCTCCTAGTCCGGGGGGAACACTGAAGAGAAGAAGGCCGACAGAGAGATAAAGCCTTCCCCTGGAGCTGACGGCCTGAATTTGGACTTTTAGCCTACTTTACTGTAAGGAAATAAATTTCTCTTTGTCAAAGCCATCCACTTGTGGTATTTCTGTTGTAGCAACACTAGATGACTAAGATACATAGTTACCCTATAGGACAGAGTAGAACTGCCCCATAGAGTTTCCAAGGTGGACCTGGTAGATTCAAACTGCTGCCCTTTTGGTTAGCAGTAGTAGCGCTTAAACACTACACCACTAGGGTTTCCAGTGAGTGGAAGGGTGCTGGAATTGCAACCCTCGTGTGTTTCTACTATGCACCATGGCTAGCTCAGCCAGGGTCAGGATCAGAGTAATTATGACCCTCCACGTTGGAGAGGTGTTTGCAGGCTGGCTGCTGAGCAACTTCACACTTGGGGATTTACGGGCCAGGTGAACGGGCAGCTTTGATGCCCTTTTAGAGCTTGGAGTAGGATTAACCCCATTGCTGTCAAGTCAATTCCAACTCATGGTGACCCATGTGTTAACAGAGTAGAGCTAAGCTTCACGGAATTTTCTTGGCTGTAATCTTTATGGAAGGTCCCTGGGTGGTGCAAATGGTTTTTGCTCAACTACTAACCTGAAGGTTGGTCGTTTGAACCCACTCAGCAGCCCACGGAAGAAAGGCCTTTTGATCTGCCTCCATAAAGATTGCAGCCAAGAAAAGCCTATGGAGCTCAGTTCTGTAACACATGGGGACGCCATGAGTCAGAATCGACTTGAAGGCAATGGGGCTCTGTTTTTCAGTCTTTATGGAAGAGGATCTGTGGCTCCTCTAAGTGAGTTCGAACCACCAACCTTTCAGCTAGTTGTTGAGCACTTAACCATTTGCACCACCCAGGAACTCTGGAGTTGCATTAGAGGCTGGGTTTACCCAGTAGAGGCTGGGTGGAGTTCTATCCAGGGGCAGGTCACAGGTGGGGAGCATTTCTTTTAGGGTCTCGCTAGGATTTGTGGCCTTCTGGGGCAGGACCCCACCTCCAGGAAGCCTCCCTAATTGCACCTTGCTCCCCTCTCCACACCCTGGCTCCTTGGCCCCAGGCTCTTCCCTTTGACCCGGGCCTCTGCTTGCAGCACTGCAAGAACCATATGTGGTTCTTGTCGCCCAGTCTAAGAGAAGCTGCGTCTACTTAGGGTGTCCAGAAGTGCCCAGCTCAAGCCTGGGCACCAAGTGGGCAGCAGGGATGGATTGCTGACTGAACCAAAGGCTTGAGTGAGGCTGTGGGGTCACTTTGGAACTCACGGGCACACCAGTACACACACACATGCAAACGCCCACATACCACAGTCTCCTGGGCTGGGCTGGGCCTGGGAGGCAGCAGAGAGGCCGCGAACCCCACAATGAATCACCCTCAACCTCACACTTCCATCCCACCTTCTGAGGCCCACCTGTCAGGCTAGGTCAAGGCCCTCCAGGCTGCAGATAGACCAGAAGTCTCAAGAGAGCAGCCCTCAACCAGGGCTTGGGGCCAGCTCTAATGGAGGCATCCTTGGCACAGACAGCCACAGTCGTGGGCCCTGGATCAGGGGAGAAGGAACTTGGGGCAGGGCTGGGCCTGGGACCAAGGTAAGAGTTAACGATATTCATGAAGGGACCAGCCCTGCTAATAACAAAGACTCTGACAGCAGCCTGGTTAAGATGAGAACCTGCAATGTGCTGGGCTCTAAGTGTTTATGTGCCTTAGTTTAGTTTTGTTTGTTTTAAATTTTTTATAGTTATTCTGACTGTGTGTGTGGATTATATACATAACAAAACGTACGCCATCTCAACCATTTCTTAATGTACAGTTCAGTGACGTGGATTATATCCTTCAAGTTGTGTACCCATTCTCGCTATCCTTTTCCAAATCATTTAACCACTGTTAACAGAAATTCAGTGACCCCTAAGCAAAAACTCTCCATTTCCTCCTCCCTCCCACCCCTGGTAACTACTAATAATCTTTGGTTTCTATACATTGGCTATTAATTGAAATCATAAAATATTTGTCCTTTTATGATTGACTTATTTCACTCAGCATGATGTTTTCAAGGTTCATCCATGTTGTGGCACGCATCAGGAGTTTATTTCTCTTCATGGTTGAGTAGTATTCCACTGTCTGTATCTACCACATTGTGTTTATCCTTCATCTGTTGAGGGATGTGCCTTGATTTATTATTATGCAGCTCTGAGTTTTGTTCAGAGAGGTTGTAGAGCAGGGGTTGGCAAACTATAGCCCAAGGGCCGATCAACCGTTTTTGCAAATGAAGTTTTATTGGAACACATCCATGCCCATTTGTTCTCCGATGACTCTTTTTGAGCTACAATGGCAGAGTTGAGCCATTGCAACAGAAACCATCTGGCTGGCAAAGTTGAAAATATTTACTATGTGGCCCTTTATAAAACGTTTGCTATTCTACAGAGGCCAAAGGTTGTTAGGGCTACCAGGGGTGGGTGTGAGGGGGAAAGGAGGAAGTTATTGTTTAAGGGGCACTGAACTTCTGTTAAGGGAAATGGAAAAATCAAGAATGGATAGTGGTGATGGTTGCACAACATGGTGAACGAAATTAATGTCACTGAATGGTACACATAAAAAGGGTTGAAATGGCAAATGCTTTGTTATATATATATTTTTACCACAATAAAAAAAGTTTGCTATTCCAACTATGTGACATTCTGGAAAAGGCAAAACTGCAGAGACAATGGAAAGATCAGAAAATATATCTGTTGCCAGGGGTTCCTGGGGAGGGGAGGAAGAAGGGATGAATAGGTGGAACACAGGGTATTTTGGGGGCAGTGAA